ATTTCTTGAATCATATTTGATGACTGAAATATAAATTATAACTCTTATCTGATATGACACTGAAAGAATGTACAAGAAATTGACAAAACAATGTTAATTCAATTGTGGAGAATGTAAAAGGAATCAAGCGAAAGTAAGGTTTCCACATTTATGCAAAATGAAACATTAATAAAGTCAGTATCAATGAATTGCGATAACTTACATGTATATCCCATAATACCAAGAGCAACTGCTAAGAAAACTATGCAAAATGATATGCTCAGAAACATGACATATGGGATGGAGACATGACTCAAGAAGCAGAGCTCCTGCTTAGCAAATGCAAAGCCCTGAGTTCAAACTCCAGTGTGTATATACACAATGCAGTATTATTCAGATATAAAGAAGAATGAAATTATGACTTTTTCAGGTAAATCAATGGAATTGGGGATCATCGTATTAAGCAAATAAGCCAGGTTCAGAAAGACAAAAGTTGAATGTTCTCCTTCATATGAAATAGACATAAAAGATAAAGATAATCTATATATAAATACAGACATGATTTTGTATATAAACACACACACACACACACACACACACACACACACACACTTAAGGAACTACAGGGAACTTATGGAGGTGGGATAGGAAAAGAGAAGATGGAGAGTGAATAAAATAAAATTCATTGCTTCTGTTATAAAGATGTCAGAGAGAACACATTGAAAGCTGTTGGATAACACAGTATGGGTAGATAGTGAAGGAGATAATAATAGAGGAAAGAAACTAATAAAGATAAAAGCATAAATCAATGAAATTTAAAATAGGAAAGCAATAATGAAATTCAGTGAAAGTGTGTTTCTTCTAAAATTAATAAAAATTGACAATATGAACAAAAATAGAGACAAAGAATATAAAAATATCACTAAAGTCAGGAATTAAACAGGAGGTATCACTGCAGATCATGAAGCCATTAAAAGGATAAGTCATGCTAGGAACAATTACATGCTCATATTTGACAACATGGAAGAAATACACTAATTCCTTGAAAACCACAAATGACCTAAGCTCAGTCATGAGGAAATACGTAATCTGAGTAGTTTTACAATCACTGAAAATTTTTTATTTAAACTTAAAATTTAATATTAGAGATATTAAAATTTCCAGAGGGTTTGACTGGCAAGTACTAGAAAACATTTAAAGAATAGTTGTAAGCTGGGGATATGGTGCAAATGGTAGAGTTTCTGCTTAGCAAGTATGAGGCCTTGAGTTCAAACCTCATTACTACCAAAAAACACTTTTCAAAAGAAGGAAAAGCCATAACTCTCAAATAATAGGAAATAAAATGAAGAACTATAATTTTCCTAGCAAATAGTAGTAAATGTTTGGAATTCATTCCATAAGGTCAAAGACCTTTGAAAAATATGAGTAAATCAATTTAAGCAGTATATATAAAGAATTATAAACCACAACCAATTGAGAGTTATTCTAGGTATGAAAGGTGATACAACACTCAAAAATCAGTTTATATAATCCAACACATCACAAAGTACAGAATAAATAGCATATACTCATATATATATATATATATATGTGCATTAAAAAGTATTTGACAAATCTAACATCTCTTCATGATGAAATGTGATATAATACAGCAAATAAAGAAAGTGGTTATCTCAACTGGTGCCAAAAAAGTCATTTGATAATATTCAATAAATTGTAATCATAAAAAATACTTGACAAATAATGGATAGAATGAGATGTTGTTAGCATAACTAAGGTCATACGTGTCAAACTCACAGTGAACATCATACTCAATGGGAAAGGACTAAAATTTTTCCCACTAAGATCAACAGCAAGAGAAAGATGAGCACTTTTCTGTTCAACAGAGTACTGGAAGTTCCAGCCAAAGCAATTAAAAAAGAAAAAAATATGAAGAACATCTAAACTAAAAAGGAAAAAGTAAAATTATAATATGGGAGTCTGACTAGGTCAGGAGGTTGGAGCCCTCATGAATGGGAATTCCAGGGAGTATTTGCGTAATCCATAGGTTGCAACCCAAATAAGGGTCTTCACTAGTACCTAAATGTACTGCATCCTCATATTGGATTTCTAGACTGTGAGAAATAAAATTTCTCTTCTTTACTAACTACACAGGTTACGGTATTTTGTTATAGAAGTGCAACATGACAAAGGGATACTACAAGGGTAAATGTAGGGCTACAAGGGTAAATGGTGAGCGCCATATTCTTTCCTTACTTGTTCATCTGTTTGATGATCATTTCTTCAACATTCCTGATATAAATCACAATTACCACTTTGTAATGGATTTCTTTTTAGAGTGCTCACACATTGTGGGATCCCAACACTTCAACTTCTCTGTACACTACTTATTTGACTAGAGACAATTTCTTTTGATTTTTCCATAAGGATTCATTGATGAATTTATGCATCTAAGTGTAGAGGGTGCATATGAATAACAAGCAAGACAGGTTTTATGTGTGAATTCTAAAAGAAGTGAAATTTTTTATTTTAGCACCAATTATTTCTAACTCAAGTATATTTTAGATATCTTTCTGAAATGAATTTCACACATTCTTGAAGCAGACTGTTATAAGATGAACTGTGAATTTGTAGTGTGGTCTCTGACTCCGCTGGAAAGTCAGAAGCTGAGGCCCTGTCCCTTTATATGCACTCAGCCTCTGAGTACCCTGTAGTAGGATGGGCAAGCCCCACACCTGCTGATGGCTCTACCCTAGGAAACTAGACTCTCCACTTCCTCTGCTGAGGGCCACCTACAACATTTGGTGCTTAGTGATCACAGAGGTAGGGAAGTTCAGAAGTCCTGGCATTTTAGCAACCTTGAAGACCAATCTGTGATGATGGGAGTAAATGGATGAATTCCCAATGTCTCCTCTTTCTCAGAAGATAATGCTGAACCACAGTCTAAATGATTCCTATAAAGGTTCCACAGAAGTTCCCAGTTGACCTGAGTACCAGTTGCTGTCAGCAGTAGCTTGCTCTTTAGCACATCCTCCATGGGTTGAGGCTTCACTCTCCCACCTGCTCATTTGGTTTCTCAGAATCATCTCTTAAACAAACCCCCTGGAGATCAGCCCTTGTAACTGGATCTGCTTTGGAGAACCAGGTCTAAGTCAGCTGGGCTGCTCTTGCTGCACCTGACATTTCTCTTGCCTGTAGCAGAATCTTCAATGCTTTTACTGTTTCTTTAACTGGGGAATATCGGAAATAAACTGGTGTTGAACACTGCACCCAGGGACTTTGTGTTACAACCTTGTTTAGCTCTCTAATGGCCCTGTCAGGAATGTGATTCTAGTTTCATACCACAACAAGCAAACTAACACTTTGAGAAGTTATGACCACAAAGATCCAATGCAGAGGAAAAAGGAATGTTAAAAACAAAGTCTTTCTGTCTCTGTGATCATTTCCATGCTGCGCCTGTCCCGAAACAGCACGGAAGCAGAGAAGCTCATTAGAAAATGGGTGAGAGTGAAGTTAGATGAGAGGCACAGTATAGATTTTGTTGTGAAAATAGATTGTATGCCTTTTAGTATTATTTTTATTTTTGGTAGTACTGGGGTTTAGAAATCAGGGCATCAAATCTGCTAGGCAACTGTTCTAACCCTTGAACCACATCCTCAACATTTATACCACATTTTTATAAGTGATCAACAGGTGAATAGTTAAAGAAAATGTGAAATAATTAACAGTATAGTTGAATTTAGCCGTAAAGAATGAAATTGTGCTATTTTCAGGAAAATGGATAGAACTGGAAATTATCCTGGTAAGAGAAGCAATTCAGAATCACAAAGCAAATATCATGTTTTTCTTTCATATGTAGACCTTAGAGTGCAAAAGTACATGAAAGTAAAAAGGGGACAATTATGAATGTGGAAAAGAAAAAGGGAAAGGGGGAGGGGGAGAACAAAAAGTAATACAGGGAGTGAATATGATCAAGGTATGTATATGCACATAGGAAAATGTCAAATGAAACCCATTACTTTGAAATAACTAATATAAGCTATTAAAACTGCATATGTTTTAAAATTAATTATTAGAATTTTAATTGTATATTTTTGTGCAGTACTCTGTGAGGATTTAATACAATTACATGCTATAAATCAGGATAATTAACATTTTCCTCTTATTAAATTACCTTGTGTTTGGAGATTTTGTGTTCTTCTGTTACAGTTATTCATAAAATATGTAATAGGTTGTTGTGAACTATAGTCATACTACTGTTATGTAGAGCAAGTTTTGAATGCTTTTGTTCCTATTTTCTTACTGTTGTTTAGCAAAACAGATATAGGTAGACAGGCAATGGATTGATCCTGCATAGAGGGAAAGGAAGTCTCAGCTGAAGCTTGTACTGCTGAATAGTGATTGCTCAGATACCTCTGCCTACTCCAACTTCCTCTGTTTTTTAATGAATGCTACTTAGTGCCTTATAAGGTAGGTTTTAATGAGTGGTGAAAGGGAAGAGAAAGAAGAATGAATTTCTGCCCCCCAAAAGCTAAAAGATTCTGTGTCATCTTTCCTACCCTCTGTTTACATATCACTAGTGTTTCCATCTCAGCATACCCACAGCTTGAAAAATTGTCTTTTTCTCAAGTGTCTCCTTCCACCCAGGTACCCAAATCAGAAAGTCAGGTGTTCTAGAGACTTTCCTGTTTAAACCCTCAGATCTCATCATTGACAGCATCCAATTTGTTCTACTCAAAGTTTCTGGTGGGTCCCGTCCACTGTACTGTGGCCTCTTTAACACTTCACACATAGCATTTCTTGGCTACTTTTATGATATCTACCTTACCTGAGTACTTCCCACTTCCCCATGCCTCCCACAACCCCCTGATATTAGCAAATGCCAGACTTGCACTAAGAGAAGCCAGGGGAATATAAACAACAAAGATGCACCTACCCCATTGTTCTGCAGGATCAAGTAAAGAAATAAAACTGCTAGTCAACAAGACGTGGACAGAAAGAGGCTGTCCTGGATAGCTTACCTGACCACAGCTTGAGGAAATTAACAACCAACATGAGCACGAGGGCCAATGGATGTGTTCCAGCAGGATGATTGTATATTATGGAAACCAGCAGGGTTGGATGAAAGATTTCATCCAACCAATAAGAGAGTAGAGGAACTAAGGCAGCTGTTCCAGGGTCAGGATCCATGGAGGAGATCATTGTGAACTGATGGTAAAATGTGCTATTCTTCTCCCACTATTCTTCACATGGCTGTATGTGTTAAAAGAATGGCGACTCTGTACTTAGAATCCTTGCACTTATTGGCAAGCCATAAATATTTCTCCATCCAGGGAAATCAATATATAAGTGGATGGGACAAACTAACAGAGAACCTTGTCTTTGGATAGGTCTCTACTGTGAGTGGTGTCAGGGAAATACCAGATGTAGGGATATTTTTCATGACTAGTCTGGCAGGGAGAGGTTTGTGAGGATGGAGGTAGAAATTTAGTTCTGAAGGAGAAGTCATCCTGGAAGAGGGTAGTAGAGTCTTAGACAAAATATGGTACTCTGTGGGGGTAGTGAGGTAACCCTGCCCACTGATTTCTTGTCTTGACTTCAGAGTCAGTACTCTGATTGTAAGACCAGACATCATAATGTAAAGAGACTCAGTATTAGAAAATAATCCAATACCAGATCAGACACAGGGAATGGGAAAAGACGCATTCATTAGCCATTCATTTCATAGAGCAAATCAGGTTATCCACAAGTGGAAATGATACGGTCTTTTTACTCACATGAAACTCAAAATGATAAATCATTTACTTGATTGGAAAGCTAATTTCCAGGATGACATCATACAGAATAGTCTTTTATTGCAAAGCAAATAAGGACAAAAACAACTTAAAAACAGGAACCCTATCTACTAAGAAATCATTTGTTAATCAATTTAAATAACTCATGGGTCTAAAAGAAATCATAAAAGTACTAGAGAGTGTTTAGACTAACACAGGAATGCAAATACTATATTTGGCTGAATTTCAGAACATTGGCAATTCCAACATCTGTCCAGGATGTGGAGAAACAGGAACTCTCATTCCTTGCTTATAGGAATAAAGGCTATAGTCACATTGGAAGACAGTTTGGCCATTTCAAACAAAGCTAAACATGCCACATGATTCAGCAAACATAGTCTTTGGTATTTATTTAAATGAGCTCAAAATTTATACACACAAAAATCTTGTACATAGGTGCTTATAGCCAATTTATTCACAACTGCCAAAAAATTCGAGCAACCATCATGTTCTTCAATAGAAAAATGGATAAACAAAGTGTGGCCATTCATATATTGGAATATATTCACCAATAAAAAGAAAGGAGCTATCAAGTCACAAAAAGATATGGAGGAACATTAAGTATATAGTGTTAAGTGAAAGTAAATAGTATGCAAATGTTGCATACGGCATGATTCCCACTATATAACATCTAGAAGGGAAAACCAGAGAGACACAGAGATTTTTAAAAAATCACAAATAGCCAAGAGTGTGAGGGATGAGGGAGGAAGAACAATAATGAGTACAATAGATAATTTGCAGCACTAGTCTATATATGTTGTAATGCTGAGTTCATGACATTAGAAATTTGTTAAATCCCATGAATTTCACAACACAAAGAGTTGCTTAGTTCACAGAATAAATTAACATTGGTTCATCAATCATAACCAATGTATAACACAAGTAAAATTTATTGCTCCAACTGTCAGGAGCCTCCTAATGGCCAAGACGAGGGGCTGGTTCACCAGACCTGGGAACATAGGCATCTATGTGCATTTTCAGAAACCTTCCTCACTTCTTGCACCTGTGTGCACACCTGGACTGCATGCCTGACATCCGGGTGCTGCACAACTGCATATATGACTCAAGACATAATGGATGCAACTAGTTCCACATGACTTTCTTCCTGCACTGCTTGTACAACCCACCGTTGATGAAATCCCAGCTTGACCAAGATGATGAAGTGCCAAGGGTCATCACCAAATAAAGTTTCACATCAAGGAAACTTGACACTCCCACAGTTCTTAGGGGCAAGGATAAGACAGATGAAATTATCTGATTCTCCCCAGGGGTGCTTGGCTAAGAGAAGAGCACTGTAAATACTGTCAAAGCACATTTAGATACCATTGACACACTGTTAATGTTAATAATTGGCCTTTATTGTAAGAACCCTTTTAAATGTTTATTATTCCTTAAAATAAACTAAGATGTTGGGTTTGGAGGTGATTTGACTCCCTCATTGACAGTTGTTAGGCCCTACCTTGGCACCCCATCTGCCCTGGGCTGTGCGGGTTGTAAGCTAAGCAGTCAGCCAGACTGCCCTAAAGGCTTCAGGCTGTGGAGTACCACAAACACCTTGAGGAAGTTACACAGCAACCATAGCTGATTGCCGCTATGGCACAACTCTGGCCTAGAAGGCACTATTCCAGCCATAGATGTTTTTAATAGCTTGTGAAGGACTTTTGCTATCACAAGCCTTGGTAAACTCTAGCAGCTATTTTAACCCAGGTCAAAGGGGAGCCCTTCCCCTGGTGGCCCAGCAGAAGGATGTGATGGGTGAAAATGCAGTCTTCCATTTACATGAAGGGCCGTGGTATGATTGGTGCAAACACCCTTGCTATACACCCTGTCTGGCTATATAAGCAGGCTGTTTGGCTCACTTTTCCAGTCAGCTGGAATACACCCTCTTTTGCCACAATGGTTCCAACATTAAGCCTAATAGAAGGCTTCTCTCAAGTAGTGTTTTCTTGATTACTTTTGATCTTTGTCATTAGGAGAGCAGGCTGAGTTGGTAACATGAAGAGGATAGAGTAGAAATTGCGGTGAAGCAGAAGTAACACTGAAGGTGGTCACAACCTCAGTGGCAGCAGCAGCATTAGGACAGCTGAAGAGTTCCATAGAGAAAATGGGATATAAATAATGGGGAAGAGTATACTATACTTCCAGTATAGAAGTGAAAAAGTGCCACCTTTAAGTGTATGCCCTCAGCCAAAGTGTATAAATGTTACCTAAAGAAAGATAGAAAGCTGTGAAGAGCCAGCTATGAAAATGCGTGTGCTGGTCACTGGAAGTATTAAAGGGAGCAATCAAAACTTCAGGGACAAGGGTAACATCATAATCCTGAGAGCTTTAACAACAGTGGCTATCAAGGGGTAAGGACCTTGACATCCTATGCTCACAAGCTGTAACACTAGGCACTCTAGGAGCTGAGGGTCCCAACACCCAAGACCCACTCAGGAGCTCTAACACTAGCAGAAGCACCTGCTGCTGCCACTCAGTACTGCTGGAGGTCAAGGACTACAATATAGTTGCCAAGTGTCAGGTCTAGTAGTAGTTAAAGCCCTGAGTAATAAGCCACAATTATGTCTACATAGAGTCATTAAGTCTCTGGCTTCTATACCTGGAAAACAGGCCTCCAGCATCCAGATTTAGAGCTGTAAGCCTCTAGTTCTGCCAGTTCAGCCCTCAGGCCTTGGGCAATCAAGGGCCCAGGACTCCTAATACTGTAAGAGTCCCTCCTTATCCACCCATGATTCCTATTCAAATAGCACACACACAAAAAAAACCCCAACCTAGCTGATTGGTAACAAGAAGACTTGAAAACATTGCCTATCCTCTGCCTTGAACAAATTTTGTTTGAATCATGCATTAGGAGGGGGCTGAAAGATGACTGATGGTCACATTGTTAAACTATGGATAGGATACTCCAATACACCACTCCAATAATGAGGGATGACTAAACTTGCTTGGAACTTAAACTTTGTGCCTATACATGTTATAATGCATCATTTCTTACTTTAAGTGTATTTAGAAGCTCTCTTGCTTACTTTATTCTCTAAGTTGTATGAGTATAAAATCTATAAAGTATTAATTATCTTGTTACCAATTTAAAAATTTTTCACAATAGTTCCCTCTTCTCTATTGTTTTATTAGCTCAGAAGTTTAGATGAGAGGTTCACTTTTGCCATTCTTCTACCTGTCCTGTGATTAGCACTTTCTCTGATATGCTTTGAGTGTTGATCCATGAATTTCTTAGACTTTCTGCTGGAATTCACTTAAGTGTGCATGAATGGATGGTTAACAATAAACTAAGGCAACCTTCATGTGATAATGTCATTGTTTTCTTGCTATGTCATTAGCTTGATGGTTAAGGTACAAGTTTTGGGTTAAAGCCAAATGGCTTTCATTATGTTTTCCAATTATTTTACTTAATAATTATTAGGGAAATATTTAAAGAAATGTGAGGTCATACAAAACTTAGTAGCATATATGCTATGTAGTGGCAATTATTAAGCTAATGAAGTTTAATTTCATTATGTTTAATGTGGGTAATTTTTACCTCCATTAAAAAGGAATATTCATTTATTGATTAAAGGTGAAAATGATAGCTAAGACACAATTCCATTTCAACCCTTTGACTATGTGATGTGCTGCACAATGAGCTTCTTTTTTTATGAAAGTCTTAACATTCCTACTCATAAAAAAGGATGCTATTGATACAGAAGATTTGTGTCAGTCTGAAAGCCTCCACTTAACCTTGCTGACTTAGGTGTTTATCCAGACGGAGGGAGGTCAGCATTTCAGGCTCATATCTCACAAAGTTAAAGAATGAACTTCATGGACAATAAGAGTGAGTAATTGGGAGTTTATTGAGATAGAAAACAAGGATAAGTAGAGCTCCCAGGTCTGGGAGGAGTCCCAAGAGAGGGTGCCAGAGAAGTGACGTGGACTGAGGTGTTAATCCATTTTCTCTGGGGCATTGCTCAACCTCTATAGTAATTAGGTGTATAGAAAGCAGCATTCTGGTTGTCTGTGACTGCAATGTTCTGATTGTCCATGCCCTAATCCTCATACCATCCTTATTCTGGTCCAGCCTGCTTTTCCTTCTTTCCACCCTTTGAGGTCACAGGGAGGTCATAATGGAGGGTTCCAGGGGTCTTTCTGTCTTATTTCTCCCTCTGAAAAAGTAACCCTAACTGCCTTTAGGGGAAAACGGGCAATGGCCACTCTTCAACTGCTATGAGCTAGAAAGGGGAGTGGACAGCAGTCAGGGTCTTCTCACAGAGGCCTATGTAAGGGTCCCCCATAAGTGGAGGTTTTTGTTTGAGGCTCCCATTTTTATTTTAAACTGAAGAGGTAACAAAGGAAATTTAGTTGGCAGGAAATTTA